AATTCCACCTGTGCACGTGTGTATTATTTTGCGTTTCACATCAAATGATGATCGCATCGAAAATAGAGATATTTACTTTCATTGCACACACGGTAAAATGTCTTTGTTTCTTAGTGTTAGTGATTTTGTTTCTTGAATCTATACAATAGTTCTTTTACTACTACGAAGAATTTTTTTCGTTGAAAAAAAACTTTGGTTGTGTTGGTACGAAATTTGACAGTGACAGAATTTTTTTCCCCGCAAATTGTTCGCTCTTGAAGTGTTGAGTGGTGTTTTTTTGACGTGACTATTTGAATAGGAAAATGTTTGCATACCGCGGAGACGCAAATATTTTCCTTATTCAAATAGTCATGTCAAAAAAACACCACTCAACACTTCAAGAGCGAACAATATAATTGCTTTTTGTAATTCTATGCGATCCAATTGCGGTATTTTGCCAACTATATGCGTCACGACTTTTGGACGGCAAAACGCTTTAAAGCTTGACTTGGAGATTAAATTCAAAAGTCGTGACGCAAGATATTTCTCCTTATTGTAAATAAATTTTCACAATAGTGAATGCGAAAAATACTTTTGAACTTCGTACCCAGTGATAATACAGCGTCCTAGCGTCACTCAAAATGATATCAGTCATTTTGAGTGGTAAATCCACGCACAGGAGCGTCACTCCATTTCAACCTCGTCTAGAGGTTTTTCATCTGATATCACTAATTTTGTATGGCATTTTTTATTTGGAAAAATACATTTTTAGCAGAAGTGTCTGAGTAACACATGGCATTCTAATTTCACAAGTTCTGGAGATCTAATTTCCACTACCATTGAAAAAGTCCCATTCTCCTCTAATTGCACATTATAAAATGCGGTTAAATATGATTAAATTTCAAAATATCCATACAAAGAGTGTTGAATTGTAGACCCCCATTACTTCATTCCAACATATTAATTTCCAAAAACAAAGCAACAACGAATGCATTTTTATGTATCCCCCGAACAAAAATTCAATTTCAAACATTCAAGCTAAGTATACAGTTCCTTGTGAAATGAAAAAATTTCTCCGGTGAAATTTTCACAGGTGATATTTTTATGGTGTTTTTCATTTTCGAATTGCAAGCATAATGATTTTTGATGTATAAAACAGCTAGCTCATTCCAATAACAACACGGCACATGAACAAATTTGGTTTTTGAGTTCATTCTTCTATGTGTTTTGTCTAAACAAATTTTTTTTCACGGTCGTGAAAAATATTTCGCGTGCAAAATGTACGCGAAATTTTTTTCACGGCGGTGAAAAAATAAGAAAGATCAAGATACATTAAGAAATGAATTCAAAATTCAAATTTGTTCATGTATTGTGTTGATATTGGAGGGAGTTAACTGTTTCATACATCAAAAATCATTATGCTTGCAACTCGAAAATAAAAAACACCATACAAATATCACCTGTAAAAATTTCACCGGAGAAATTTTTTCATTTCACGAGAAACTGTGTACTTAGCTTCAGATGCAAAAAATGCTGATTTATGACCAAAATGACAACGAAGTGGGTATTTTGGTGTTGATAGACTCCAATTATTTTTACGAAGAAATAGCAGTTTTCTAAGACCAAAATGACATCAGAGGTCTATTTCACGTGTTTTCCGAACAAAAATGTCATTTTCAGTGAAAATAGAGCAAGTTGAAAAATTCACTTAAATCCGACCTATTTTTCGACCATGAAATAGCCTCAGATCGCATTGTAACTACTTTTAATCGATTGCTCGTCGAAAATTTAGCGGATACGGCCTTTCGTGAGCCTTTTCAGCCAGTCAATGCGTGTTTTCGGCAGCAATTTCCGCACGATGATAACGAAAGAGCGAACAATTGTAGAGCGTTTAGTTCAAATTTGTTCGCGCTCAAATTCACTCCGTCACATTCATTCTTGTTTTGATGTCGAAACAGTGAAAAAAAAAATAAAAAAATAAATTTGAAATAAAATAAAATACAATTTAAATTAAATCCGCACATATTTTACATGTTTTGCTGTTTGTCATATGATTTCGCAATATTTCATAATATTTCGTCACCATTATGGATTATTGCGAAATCATACGACATACGATTGTGGCTTTCTGCCGTTCTCCAGTAGTGGCGCTCTACTATTTCACACTCCATGTTTTACATAGAAAAATTTACAGAATATTGCCGGGTGGCAATTTCATCGTAGAATGCGACTCTTCGTACAAATTCCGTTCATTGATGAATTGCCTATGCCCAGAACTTCGAAATACGAATTTTCCCGAATATATGGCATATGCCATTTTGTTGGTATGGTAGCCTGCTACAAACGCTCAGTTTTTGGTAAAAATTGTCGGACTCTCCTGTTAAGCAAATGTCAATCTGAGGACGGGTTAAACTACCAATGCCCATAACTTTTTCGGTTTTTGGACCAATCGGGGCACTTAGACCGGCGTTGGAAAGGTGGCAAGGAGGAGCTTCTCTAAGATACCTCAGACCACCCCTGGGTAAGATATGGGTATAGATTTGAAAATTTATCGAAATTTCCCAACCGCTATATTTTTGCCTAGACCACACTTTAGGCATGGGGGATATGATATGGTGTTTCCAACGGTACCTAACATGCCGAGACCCAAATAGTGCCCTGTGAAAATAGCATATTTACTGTATTTATACTCGTGACGCAAAAACTGGCATTTTTGATATTTGGCTTGAAATGCACAGTTGTTGGAGCGTCACTTGTCGGACTATCGTCCTCCGTGATGTCCCAAATTAATCGAATGACTAGTCAGTCAAAAATTTTCCACACCGGGAGAAAATAGTCACTAACAGGGTAGTGTATTTGTGCAGACCACAAAACTCTTCAAAAAAATCAAAATAACGAAAATTCCACTTTGGCGATCAAAGGAAATGTAATTTCCGACTCAGCCACTAACATCACCCATACATTCGAACATTCATGAAAAAATCGCAAAAAGTGATGATTTCCATACATCATCATCCAATCAGATTTCAACCTCAACCGAACATCTTTGAATCTCGAGACTTTTATTTATTCAGTTTATGAACCAATATAGACAATTTCAAATCATTTTATTCGCTAATCGCCATAGAAAGTTCGATGCTGAAACAAATAACCTTCCATGCAATGCTCTTCTGAGTGAAATTCTTCAAATGAGCGATATTTCATCGCGTTTATAAAAATAGTAATTTTCTTTCAGTAGATGGCGCTCACACCATCGGATTGAGAATTGGATAAAAAAAAGTGGAGGTGAATGGAGGAATTTCTTTCGAATACAATCAATATCATTTTTACAGAGAAGAGATTCGATTCGAAAGCGTTGGAGCAACTGATAAATTAACCAAACTGTTTGAAAATGACGATAAAATTGAAAACTTGAAAAATTCTACAGGAAACCGCTTTATCTCGAAAAAAAAGCTAATAAAGAAACAAATCTCTTAGTCAAACAAAGAAAAATAATTTCAATGTCAATACAAAAAACAAATATTTCAAAAATTCATATGGACTCTCATGCTAAATGAGTGCTTTAATCCATAAAAACTAGTGCAAACAAACCGTTTCAAACAATATTGTTGTTCAAACATAGCTCTCTATCAATTTTAGTTTGTTTAACATTTAATTTGTTTTCTGCGGGTGATCAAGTAGCCTCGGAGCGATTATGATATGTAAACACAGTCTCCATGCATCAGAACGATACGTTTCACGGTGTTTCGCTTGCTTGTCCGCTATTGAGAGTAAAACTTTGGCTCAAACTGAATGAATCACTCATTTTGAGTGAGAATAAGACACGATTGCATTTCGTGAATGCATTAGATGTTCACCAACATTGATAAAGCGCGTGAGTTTATTTCAAGTAAACGAGTAAGCGGAACAAAATAAGCGAGTGAGAGTGTGGTCGAGTAACAAAAATACTTGGTCCGAGTGCCGAATAAGCACATGATAGTATGTGCGTTGAATGAATGAATAATTGTCTCTTTTATTTTCTTCTCACAGTTGACCGTATTCACTCTTACTTCTGTTGAAATATATACGCATGCTGTATACATGTGAGACTCACACTATAAGTGTGGCACTATAGTAGATGTTAAGCGGTAAAGAGCGGTGATGACTGCTGTGGAGCTAAAATTCCATACACAAACGCAATGCAAAAGAACGGCTGTGTCGTCAGTCTTATTCGTAATTTCGACCAGAACGGTTGTGCTACTGAACGGCGCCGCGTACGTGTGGATTCAACACGATTTCTCGTTACACATTTGTTCGAACAGCGAAAGCTGTAGCATTGAACCGCCCGATCGACAAATAAATAGGGCAAAAGTAAGAAAAGATACTCGTTACAATTTTTTCTCGTTCGTTCGTTCGTTCGTTCGAAACATAAATCAATTTATTAGTTATTCTGTGTGAAATGTGCGTTGAATCACTTGAATTTATGAACAAACTTCAGTGGAATAATGAAAGTGAGAACTCTGCGAGAAAAAAAGAGAAAGACTTCATTGGAAGGAAAAACACGACTGAGACAAAATAAATCGATTCCGTTGAAAAGCCAAATAAAAATAAATTGAAGCGAAATCATTGCAAAGCATTTGAAAATAAAAAGTCAAAACGAGCACAAATTCATGAAATAATTCACTTTCATGAGACAGATGTTGTTTTTTTGTCTGTTTTTTTAATCCATGGCATAATTCACATTTTGTGCAACAGAGAAAACATATCCGTTGAAAAGATAAAAAGAAATTAACCATTTTATGATGTTGATCAGTTTTGGTGTCGAATATGCATTTTCAGTTATGTGGAAACACTTTGAACGGAATCCTTTTTTCTATCTCTCGCCTCCAATGGCAGTGACGAAATGTTGAATGAATATGCTGGAAACAACCTCGAGCACTGCACTGAAAATGTACTGAAGAGATAACCATTTGAATGACAAATGGTACGTGCAAGAAAGCTAGCAATTTTTCTTCTCTTTTTTCCCTTTGTCTCGCTTGTTGCAATGCTCGAATTCGATTTGCATCAAATGAATAGAAAAATAGCGTAGATTCCATAGTGTCGAGTGTTTTTCATTTGTTCGCTGATTTTGGCTTGAGATTGTTTGTTTGCGTTTTTATGATGCCATTGGGTGCATCGGTGGCTGCTTCGTCGCATTTGGCTGTTGCTGCTGCTACTGTTGATAATGATGCTACAAACAGTGGGTGAAAATGGTTTGCGTGAATAAAACCACCACCGAAATTCAAAAACAGCCAAAAACTGGAAAAAGAAGAAATAAAAATGCGATGAAATACACAAAAAAAATCTTCAAATAAGCGCGAGAGCTAGACGCACACGACGAAACAAACGAGAGAGAAAACCCAAAAAAAACAACAACGCACCAAATCGAAGTAGCGCGTATGTAAAAAGTATAGATATGATGTGTTGAAAAAATTCGCAAATGTTGACAAAACATGAGATTGTAGCAAGGATTTTTCGTTTGACGTCGTCGACGTCGATGATTCGCATAAAAAGTTTTCGGTGTTTGTGTGTGCGAACGAGCACATAAAAGCACTAATTCTTGTATGGTGTGGCCCCGTTTCTTCGTCCCTGTCTCTCTTCGTTACATTTCTAGTTTAGCTTTGCTCGCTCGGTTTAGCAACTATTGTGCGTGTTCTTTTATATATTTCTCTTGTTGTGTGTCGCATTTTTGTTTCATTCGTTCCCCATTTCGTTCCGTTTCGTTCATTTTATCTCAAAGCATCTTGAGCTTGGTGTGTGTGTGTGTGTGCTTAGTTTCTATTTAACTTGCACATTGCATCAAGCCACTAACTGCGACCCACACTGATACACTAACAGAGAGTACTGCTGTCGCGGTCGCTTAGACGCTGCTGCTGCTGCTGTTGCACTCCTATTCTACACGCTTGTCATGTTCTCGACTGCTGTTGCACACACAAGTCACTCGATTTTTTTTTCTCATATCGTTCAATCCCAATCGTCGCACTGTCTTTGCATCTTTGCGAGAGCATGAGAACGAGACGAGAAATGCAATTTTCAACGTTGCTCGTTTCATTTTGATCGAACATAAATGCACACGTCCAATAGATTCAAATATTGGGTAAAAAAAAGACAAATGCACGCATTCATACTCTCGGAGGTTTTCTTGTCTTGTCTTCTTGTTCTCAATGCATTCGCTCTTTCTCTCTCTTTGTTTCTTTCTCTCTCGCTCTCATTTCCTCTCTCATTTTCGAAGCTCATAACAGAATATTGCAGCTTGTGCTTGAGCTAATTGAGACTACTGCTCATTTTATTAGATATGGTTTTTGTCGCTGTTTGCGCCTAACTCATACTCCCGCCTGGAATTGTGCCAGCAAACATTACGGTTTTTGTCGATTTTCAGGCAGTTTTGTCCTTTTTTCATGCATTTTCTCTGAATTTAGACGGTCATTTTATGCAATTTTGGACCATTTCATTTCATTTACTGAATCTAAAATCATTTGCTCGCGCATTTCAGTACAAAACTGCGACGTTTTATTCGATTTCTTGATTAATGCATAAAAAAAAAACGTTGCAAAAATTATTTGTTTCAGTTGAAAAAGTCGAAAAAAGTTCACAAAACAAGAAGATGAAGTAAGATATCTGAGTCAATCCTTCACCAATGACTATAAATCTCTTCGTTTTCGATTCAAAATCATTCTCAAAGCATTTTTTACGACATTTTTCCACCATGATGGTCAGTATTTCTCAAAGAACTTTGGCTTTGTTGTCTAGATATAAAAAAGGACGTGACTCATCACTAAACGCTGTAGACTCTACGTATATTAAAATCGTACCATCAGTCTACTCAGTCACAGTCTTCTTTCTTTCATTGACAATTGGCTATCTTTTTACGAATTATTATTTTCAATAGTCAATGAAACGGTATTTTTTACATTGAGTTAAATCATGTGAACAGAAAACGATTTCAACTATTCAGATCTAACTGAAGCGCATTGAGGTTCTATAGCTCATTTGCAACACCAGAATAAATTTCAGACGGGTGATTTTCTTTCGATCGCTATAAAATATTTTGTAACGCTCATTTGTTCAACAGTTTAAAATTGAAATGCGAAAATTTGTCAGAATCTGATGCTGATCTTTCATTGAGTTCTAATGCAGTCTTAGGTTTTTTATTCACTCAAACTCTGTGTATGTGTTTTAAGGTTACGGCATCAAATTTATGAATCGCGCAATGAAAATCCAACAGTTATCGCGCGCGAAACATTCAAAAGTGGAAATACAAACAATTTCAGCGACAGCGATTCAACCATGTAAGAGTTGAGATGAGATAAGTTTTGCTTGAACCGTTGAATGAGAACATAAACAAATGTTCAAGTGCTGAGACACTATTTAAATAAGAAACTACTTTAATCGACTTTACCCAAACGAAAACTACTTTGCAAACAAAAAAAGTTTCGATTCGCTGCTCGGTGCATGTGTTTCATATATTGGTTTATGTGCAATCGTTGGCAAGCTCTGTGTTTTAAGTTGAAAGTGTGTTTTTCTTTCTTTTTTTTGACGAATCAAGGGAATAAAGTGAATCAAAAGTGAACAATAAAGAAGTAATGAATTAAAGCTACCGCCGAAGAGTAATGAAAACTGCAGTTTCAAACGCAACGACGCTAACAACATCCTCAATATAAACCTCAATATAAACACTCATAAGCGGGAGTTTACATGAAGAAACGGAAAATTTTGTAAGTAGTTTTGGTTTTTTTTCTTCTTATTTTATTTCTTTGCTATGAAGTATTTTTGCACCAATTGAGATTCGTTTAGGGTCGAATTTTTACTTCGTTTCTTTTTTTGTTGCAACAAAATTGCGACTAGAAGAACAAATTTCGTTCAACTCGGAAGATTTGGCTTGTGAAATGAATAGAATAAGTATTTCGAATAAAAAATTTCTTGAGAAATGCTCAGTAAGAATATGTTCTTGCTATAGCACCTCGAAACACACATGAGAAAAAGCAACATCTTCATCAAAAGTCGAGAAACTTCTAGAAAAACCAGCTCAAGTCTTGAACCTCCAGATGAGATACGACTGTGTTTTTTCGGCAACCGAAATGCAATCGCTCAAAATAGAAGCTAATGTGGTTCAAGTGATCAATTTCCAGTTGGGTCGACCCAAGTTGGGTTGATCAAACCAATGAAATTTCAATTAAAATAGTAGTAATATCAACGTCACACCGAAAGAAAGTCATTAAAATAAATATATTCCGATGGCATTTATCTGATCTCAAGTGCTATCAAAAAATGGACACTAGAAACGGATGTAAAAGACAATTTTCAACACTTCCACTCTGACATAATCTCAATTTTCTGAAAAAAAAATAATTTTTTTTTGTATATTTTGATATACGGCTTTCCCCAAAATCCGGTTCCATATAACAATATCGGCGAAAAGTCATTGAATAATTGGGATGGGTATTGAAGTTGATCAAGAAATCAATTCAAGTACGCATGTATTGTTTACATTTACGTGATTTCATTTTGGTATTTCTTTCAATGACTAGCCAACATTGTTTTCGCCTTGATAAACGCTGCGCCGAAATGAATATATTAATCAAAATTGGGTACGGCACTCTACCACTGAGTCATTTATTATTGATCTCTACGTTATGAGTGCGTGTTTAACATTTTATTTGCTTTTGCATCGAATTCTTTAATAATTCAAAAGTGCTTTCTCGTTCGATTGTTGAGTTTATGTAGTCGCACATATTTGGGCACAAGAGCGGTAACATTTTTTACATACCGTCTCGTTTCATTCATTGTTTTTATTTTGTTTCGGTGGAACACACACGTACAACGTTTTTAGGCGCTCCGTTTTTGCTATTCATTCGCCTCACTTTCGATACGCTCGTGAATGAACCGAGTAAATTGAGTGGATTATCCGAGCTACTTCAAAGTGCCACCAAACGAGTTGCAGTTCACTGTGTCTGTGCGGAACGAGTACGAGGCAACGCCGAGAATGAAAAATAATAAACGAGAGAACCTGGGAGTGCTATCTCAAGAGAGTAATAAAGACAAAGAGAGACAAAAAAATTAAATTCCGTTTAAAAAAATGACAACAAAAAACAATATCAACTTACTCTGGATGGAACAATGATGTAATCGAATGAGGTAAAAATCAAGGCGAGCGAAAAAAAATTCCACAAAGTCAAAGTTTGATGAATTATCGAAGCTGACGTAAAAATATGTTTTCTTTCAGCAATAGAATGTTCGCGCTTACGTTCATCTAAATCTGATTACTATTTTGAATTTGGCTCACCGCAATGATGACATTGGTCACTCGATTTCTTAATGAGTTAAATTATAACAAGTGCGTTACACACAGTCTTTCCCTACAGTCGACACCATTCAAATAATGAGTAATTTATTCATTAGAATTGAGTTTCGTGCGGAGTGTGCTTTAACCTGTAATTAAGTTTGACGCAAATGTGCCCACTTATGCGGTAAATCTAGTGAGAAAAACTATTATGAGCATACAATGTATTCGAGTTCAATTTAGACAAAAATGTAATTTTAGACGATTTTTAGTTCTTTATGTGTGACATACCCACACTTTTTATTTCAATTTTTCACTTTTCTGCCTATCTATTTCGATGAGGTAATGGGAAATACTCATGACAATGACCGGCCTTTAAAAAAAAATTCAATGGTACTGATGTTTTGAATGAAAAGTACTGAAAATGTCTAAAAGTTTGAAAAAAAAAAATCGAACTTTTCTTAAAGACCAGATTTTGTAGGCCCAAATGATCTTGAACAAATTAATCAAATATCAAATCATTGACATATTTTTTCTTAATTCTCTACCAACAAACAATTGTACGTTGGTGTTTGGAGGTTGACACTATTTGCCTGGAATTCCATCAACACTTACGTTTTAGTGAAGTAGAAGTCTCAGAAGACCTACGTCAAATAAGGAAATTCCAACGGTTCGAGATACATCGAACCATTTATTTATATTTGAACTCAATTTCGATCTTTTTCATTCACAATTAAACTCATTTTTCGGTGAAATAACTCAAAACCAGACCTTAAAATTCAAAACCAAAATCAAGCCGTTTTGACTTTCGACGTTCTAAATAAGCCTGTAGTTAATAATTTGTATCATTCACGCAATCATTTGCAGCTATTGTGTCAACAAATTAAATGTAATCTTTTTTTTTCTTCTTCTCATATTCGAATCACATCGTACGGATATCATCATGATCATTAGTTGGATCGTTTTTAATCATTTCTATCTACCAGAGACTGTGTGTGCAACATAGTAACGCCAATCATTAATAATTGTCACCGAATAGTTGCGCGTTGAATTTAGTAATAAGTGTTGATACGTGCGTGTTGCAACGGTGTATATCTAATGGTTTGTTGCAAAAATCTGGGCTAATTCAATATAAACAATAAAAAAAAGCAGTCGTTGCCGTTGGTGGTGGTGGTGCTGATTTTAAAATTAAAGCATGAATATTTGTATCACTTATTTGCCGTAATAAAATATTTGCATTGGACAGAATCAGCGAGCGCGTTGCGTTGCATGCATAAATCGTGTTTGCTGTGGCTTTAACATGTGTGACGTTAGAAAGTAATGGTTCAAGAACGAATATTATTAGAAGTGATTTGAATTTTGAATCGAGGCGATTCGAGGGTCGGTGTGGGTTATTACTTGGAATTCAAGTTTGAATACTTGATAAACTCGCATTACTGCAGAAGGTGAAATGCGATTGAAGTTTATTCAATGAACGAAGCTGCTTCGTCGATGCTTCCAGGAATATGCAACTGCAGGCATTCACACGGGCTCCATTGCAATGAATTCTTGAAAATTTTAGGTGCTAAATTCCAACGAATTCTTGAAAGTTTTATCTCTTCAATTCACCTTCATGAACCAGCTGTACTGCTGACAGCAGTCTGTTGTACTGTACACAATGACGTATGGTAGTACCATACTATGTGTCTCACTCGCCCCTCCTTCTCACTTTGTGTTGATATAATTTGCCTTTGATGAATATGTATTAGCTTGAATCGAATTGATGGCTCTATTTCTATGATACGTTTCATCGATTCGTTCGCTTTTAACCGAGATAGAAAAATACACACACAGCGCGCTTTTTTCTACGCTCTCCGGTTTGTAAATTTTAGGGTGAATGCGTTTTGATTTCCTGTGACAAGAAGTAAAACACGCTAAGTCTTATGTACAAACACATCCACTACGCTATGTATACACATGACCTTATTTTTCTATTGTTAGAAAAAGTTTTCTTTTCACTCTTTCCCTTTCTCCCTCTCGCTTTCTATTTCTCCCTATCTATCTCTCTCTCTCGCTCTCTTTTCCCATTATTTTTATTACATTTCACTGGTTCACTTTTTCACTCATTCGCTGGGTGCTTAAGATGGAAACGCGAGAGAGCGCAAGAGAACGACTACAAGCTTGATATGATTACATTCCACATGGTGGAAAATTCAATTGGAGTTTTGATTGTCGTAAATGGTCGTGGCTTTTTTTTTCAGTTCAATTCTCTTTAACTTTTTAATCGGATTTGAAACTGTTTGCAAAAAAAAACTATCCATGACAAGAGAACGGGTCAGCAAATAAACACAGTCACAAATAATAACCATACTTCCTGTACATGTAGTGAGTGTCGTTAAAAAAACGGGTCATTGTTTGGGCGAGTGAGGAGAAACCAAAACCGTCCTGCTCAAAGCTATTAAAGCTGCATATGGAATTAACACAAAACACTTTTCACAAAGTGCGGGCACCGTGCAAAGAAAAAAAATGCAAGCACACAGCAGGAAAACAGGGAATATGCTCAGAATTTGTTACTTTTCCACGGTGGAGAGATTGTCGGCTTTGTGTGCAACCATTTTTCTCCACACATTTTCGTGCCCAATTTGGCCGTTTGTAAATTATTCAAATGTTTTGCTTTGAAAATTATGTGTTAATTGTCATTCCAGCGCGTGTTCAAATGCACGAAATAATTTGCCATTCATGGATTTTTCGCCGCGGAAGGAATTTTTAGTTCAAACTCCCCTTCTAATGTGAAAGTTCAATGTAATGAAGTTCTTTCAGTTTAAATGGTCTAATTTGAGTTTTTCAAACGGCTCTTTCATTCCATGTCTGATTACATTTTCCATGCGATTCAGTGTGAAACTGTTTCATATGGAGCGTGTTAAACCCTCCTTTCTGACAAACCCCAATGGTTCCACTCCATTCATTTGGTTTGACTTTAATTCGAATGGTTTGCCTTCATTTGGTTAAATTTGGCATAAAAGCCGGCCATTTCAATATGAAAAGTTTCAATTGCAATTGGTACTTTTAAAGCCAGCAAATGATGTGCAAACACGAATAATGGAAAACTTTTGAGACTTTGAAAAGTCTCTCTCTCTCTCTCTCTCTCTCACGTTCGCTTGCAAGAGGCCGAGTTATATAGCACTGTTGAACAAAACCACACAGCATATCCGCAATAAAATGCCGACTTTGTTCTCAATAAAATTCCTATGGTTCTTCGAGTTCGATGAAGTCGACCAGAATCGGCTGTTAATTTCTCGGTGAAATATTCCTCTTGAGTCATAGAACTGCTTATACTGCCTTCTCAGCATAATAACTGCAGTATTGAACCACTAGTGGTTTTCACTTTATCGCTTCTCTTCGTATATTTTATTCCTATTCATCTGAAATATTTCTGGTTTCATTCTCATCTTCAAT